CTAGAAATAAAGCTCGTTTGGTTGCCCAATGATCAATCAAGAAGAGGGCATAGACTATGATGAAACCTTTGCACCAGTTGTAAGGTTGGAATCTATTAGGATGTTTTTGGCATTTGCTAGCTTTAAAAATTTTAAATTATTTCAAATGGATGTTAAAAGTGCTTTCTTGAATGGTTTTATAGAGGAGGAAGTATATGTTGAGCAACCCCCCCGGTTTCATAGATCATGTTTTTCCTAATCATGTTTACCGGGTTCAAAAGGCTTTATATGGGTTGAAACAAGCTCCTAGAGCTTGGTATGCTCGCCTCTCTAATTTTCTTGTTGAAAATGGTTTTTTAAAAGGAACAATTGATAACACTCTTTTTGTGAGAAAAAGGAAAAATGATTTTATTTTAGTTCAAATATATGTTGATGATATCATTTTCGGTGCTACTAATGAATCTTTGTGCAAGGAATTTTCTAAGGTTATGCAGGATCACTTTGAGATGAGTATGATGGGAGAACTTACATTCTTTCTCGGGCTTCAAGTTAAGTAAACAAAGGATGGGATATTTATTTCTCAAAGCAAGTATGCTAAGGAATTGGTGAAGAAATTCAATTTGGAGAACTCTAAGCATGTGCCTACTCCCATGAGTACAAGTGTTAAGCTTGATGCGGATGAAAGTGGTGAAGACATGGACCAAAAACTATACCGATGTATGATAGGTAGTCTTCTTTATCTCACCGCTAGTAGACCCGATATCATGTTTAGTGTGTGTGCATGTGCACGTTTTCAAGGGTCTCCTAAAGCATCTCATTTAATTGCGGTTAAAAGGATCATTAAGTATGTTAATGGAACTTTTAACATTGGTTTATTTTATCCAAAAAGCACCTCTTTTGATTTATATGGCTTTTGTGATGCCGACTTTACCGGATATAAGGTAGATCGCAAGAGTACGAGTGGAACATGCCAATTCTTAGGAAATTTACTTATTTTTTGGGCTTCCAAGAAACAAAATTGTGTTGTATTGTCCACTACGGAAACGGAATACATTGCCGCCGGCTTATGTTGTGCTCAAGTTTTATGGATGAAACAAAGCTTAGTTGATTATGACATTGCCGCCGGCTTATGTTGTGCTCAAGTTTTATGGATGAAACAAAGCTTAGTTGATTATGATTTGAATTTTCAAAATATGCTTATGTTGTGCTCAAGTTTTATGGATGAAACAAAGCTTAGTTGATTATGATTTGAATTTTCAAAATATAATTTTTTTTTTGTGATAACACTAGTGCTATAAATATTTCCAAAAATTCAGTTTTGCATTGTAGAACCAAGCATATTGATGTACGCCATCATTTCTTACGCGATCATGTTGAGAGACAAGATGTATCCCTAGTATTTATTGACACAAAATCTCAATTAGCGGATATATTTCTAGTATTTATTGACACAAAATCTCAATTAGCGGATATATTTACTAAGCCTCTTGGAGAGGATGATTTTTATCGCATAAGAAATGGTTTGGGCTTATGCACTATGTGAAAGTTCTACATTTGTTTGTTTAGTTATATTTTGCATTTCTCTTTACCCCATTTTTTTTATGGTGACAAAAGGGGAGAGAAATCTCCTCATTTGTTGCATATACTTAGGGGGAGCTCATAGATAGGGGGAGCACCTATCTATAAGCTATTTTTTATTTTTTTTGCTCTTATATAATGGTTGGTTGTCATTATCAAGAAGGGGGAGATTGTTAGCTCTTATGTTTTGATGATGTTTTACAACCACCATTATCGGTACTGATGGCTTATTAAGTACAAATATAGTGAATTCATATATCAAGCTTATTAGTGCCACTAATGGAGGATTGGATGGAATATGCGCTACAACGATGATATCCAAAGGAGGAGGAGGCATAGTGATGAAGCAACGTTATTTCAAGAACAACAAATTCAAATAGGAGCTTCATCAAATTCAAGCTATATCAAGACTCAAGCGTTGCATTCTACATGAGGATATTAGCTATCTTTTATTTTTCTCTCTAGTGCTAGAATGTAGGCAAAGAGTTATTGACTTCACTTGAAGCTATTGGGATATCACACACATGTTTTCATACTTATGTTTTTAAGACACACATGTTTTCATACTTATGTTTTTAAGCGTTTTTCACAAAATACTATTTTTCAAAAGTATGAGGACTTATTTGCAAAATTCCTTTTCCAAACAGTTTGTTTTTAGCATTAAAAATATTTTACAAAGTTTCATAATTTTCAGAGGTCAAATAAATATTTTCCAAATATTTTAGTTGAGTCAAAACAGTGTTTTAGGGATGTATCAGAATGCGGTCGACCGCACCGGTTGACCGCACCTATGTTCATTCCTTACTGGGCAGCAGAGAGTTCGTCGGTTGCCCGCCGCAGTCGACCGAGAGCTTCCTTCGGTCGACCGCACCGGTCGATCGGATAAGTCTCTGCTTGTTTTTCTCATTTTTGAACTAGATAGCGGTCGACCGAAATTTCCGTCGGTCGACCGAACTTTTTCGTCAGCCAACCGGAATTTCCACCTGTCGACCGCCGTCTTTTTCAAACGGTAAAATATGTCCTTTTTGTTGCACCGCTCAGTACAGATCTCAGCGACGTTTTGTTCCAGATTTTGAGGGATTAAGGGATGGGTTTAAACAGTTGTTTTTTTCCCAGCTTCAGTGTGCTCTTTCTCTTTGCCATAGGGACGTTGTAAAGAGAGAGTCTTACACCATTTCTACTATCTTGTGAGTGTGATCTTGTGTAGATCAACTATGAGGGAGTGTGATCTTGTGTAGATCAAACTATGTAGTGTGAGATCGTGAGGGGATCGCTGTGTAGACGAAGTTCCGGCTTCCAAACCGGGTTGTGTAGTGGATTTCTCCTCGAGAGTGGGGAGCGGGGACGTAGGTCAGCTGACCGAACCTCGTTAACACATCGTGCGTCACATGATAACGATTCCTAACTCTATCTCCTCTATTTTGATTGCATTAGAATTATGTGGTTTTCTGGTATTGTTTTTATTGTATTTTTATAGCCTCTTGACCCTAATCACCCCCCTCTAGGGTCCTACACTTTTCATGTACGCGTTTTGTTATCATTAAAGTTTGGTTATTATCAAGTTATATGTTTTTCTTGTATGTCTTTTTATGTTGTCTATAATTTTATTAATTTATTAGTTTATTTATGTTATTTGAGTTATATTGTTTATTGGTTAACATAGTTATTTCTCTTACATTTCATCAACAAATTCATAGTTTATTTTAAGATGTGAAATGAATGTTATAAGTTTATACAACTTAGTTGCAGGTTTTACACATTATAGATATTTTGTTGTGTTTATTAGTTATCTATTTATTAATTATTTTAATTACTATATTTATCAATTTTCTATGTATAAATTTTTTTTATTACTATTTTAGTTAACTGTTTATGTTCATATTTGATTATTGTTTTAAATATTATTACATGATAGTTCATATGTTGTATTATGTTTATTCTTTATGTATATTGGGTTTATTGTTTTTGTATTATGTTTGGTTATTCTAGAGGGTATAATGATATAATGGTTATTGGTATATTTTAATATTGGGTTCGTTGTATAAACGTTATGAATATATAATTATATGATTGTTGCATATAATTTTATGTCTTTTTATCTACATCCATTATTGATGTATTTTTTTACTTTCTATTAACAGCTATTATATGTATTATTTTTGCTTTACAGACTACTATATGATATCGTGCATATCTTATTTTAATTCTGAGGGCGGAATTTATTTTAAGGAGGGTATGATATAATGATCATGAAATTTTGATACTAATTAAAATAATTTTTTGGTATTTTAAAATATTTAATTATTATTTTTAAAAGAGTATTTGTATTTTTCTCAATTTTTTAGAATATTCTATAATTTAAAGTCCAAGTTTTATATTTATTTAAATAATTTTGATATTTATAAATTTATTTAGTGCAGTAAAAATTTCTAGAATTTATCTGTTGTGTTATCGATACTGTTACGTGTTATTTTGCATAATACATCATATTATTATTATTACATATTATTTCATATAATGCGTTGTATTAATAATTACGTATTATTTGTATAATTTATTGTATTATTTTTTCTGTTGCGTAGTATCTGTCGCATTTGTATAGCTGGTACGTTTTACTGTGTGGATAGTTATCCCATAATTAATTAATTTTAAATATAAGTAATTATATATTTTATTAATTATTCTGGTTTAACTGTATAATTTATTGTATTATTACTACTGTTGTATATTATATGTCGTATTCGTATAACTGGTACATTTTTTACATAATTATTTAATTTATTTTGTAATTAATATTCTTTTTAATTATCTTTCAAAACCCTAATTTTCTTTTATAAATATACTGTGCAACTCTCCTGTTCACATTTTCATGCAGCCCATCTCCCCCTCTCTCTCTCCCCCTCTTCTCTCTCTCTCTCCTCTCGTTTCAATCCGCACCTCCCCTTCACCTGACACCTCCTTCCGCTTGCGTTCGCCTCCCGCTTGAGATCTTGCCTAACAGTGTCGACTAGTCCTCCTCTCCGACCGAGTCCATAAGTGGTGCGAGCGACGCTGCGTGTGCGCTCCTCACTCTCGCCGCGGCCGCTCCCGACCCCGTTGCCGTGACTGCGCTCAAAACCCACGCCGCGCCTTCTCTCCCTTGACCAATGCCACCCCCTCATCAGAGCTGGCCCCTTTCCTCCAGCCAAACGTCGCCGTCAGCCCTCTCAAAGGACCAACCACGCCTTACACCTCCCCGCGCCGTCGCCGGCCCAATCTCACCGCTACCCCTACTTACTACAATCGGACCCCTGGCTCTTCTCCTTCCCCCTGCTCGTTGCCCAGCTCTGACCACCGCACCATTGCCCCGATCACCCGCTCCCAGATCCGCTCCTCTCACCGACTCCATCACTGTTGGCCTCCCCCCACTAGTACAAAGATGGCTAGCCCCAACAGGTGGTGGGAACCGTTGGGGAAACTTTTCGTAACCCCCAACGGTTCTAACCGTTGGGCCATTTTTTTTACGATGTAGGGAATTTTCCCTCCCTCTTTTTATCAAAAAAAAAGAAAAAAAAAGAAAAAAAAGAAAAAGGCCCGTGAACCCCATTTCTTCGTTCTCCTCTGTCAAAAAACCCCCAAATCCCTTCTCCTTTGCCGCCGCCCTCCCTAACCCTAACCCAAACGCCTGCCATGTTGCACCTCTCTTCATCGTTCCTCCCCCGCGCTCGCTCCGCCGCTGCCCTCTCGCGGTCCTACTGCCTTATCCCGATGGTGATCGCGCACACCTCCCGGAGCGAGAGTGCCTACGATATCTTCGCCCGGCTCCTGAAGGAGCATGTGGTCTGCATCAACGTCCCTATCTCCGATGACATGACCGCCATCGTCGTGGCCCGGCTCCTGAAGGAGCCCTCCAAGCCCCTCTCCCTAATAGCGCCTGATTTCCTTTGAACCGTAACCCTAATTCCCTATGAAGAAATTCCCAATTTCTTCCAGGTTACCTCAAAACCCATACCCTAACTACTGAAATCCCTAGATATCAACAAAATCCCCATCAGAAACAAAACCCTAGGGATGTTATCTGTTCCGACCTCGTCGGAGCCAGAGATTATTGAGGTCAGAAGAAAGATAAGATTGAACCGCGAGATCATGGTCAAATTCACCCAAACCCCTGACGGTGTGCTTCTTTATGGAGGTAAATCCTCATTCTTGCATATGATGTTTGCGATTTTCTATTTGTAGGGCGACATATCACTATCCTGGGGCGAAAATTGAAATTTTATCTCCGTTTCCTTTTTATCTCGGGGTGATTGTTTATGAGAAAATACAGTAGAAATTTGTATCAAAGTAGTTATGAGTGTAACCAGGTCTGGGAGTGTGGGAGATGCTTCTATTTTCTTGGCCTCTGATCGCTATGTGTCGCTCTGCCCCATGATTTTGTTAATCCAGATCGTATTTATCTTACGGAGGATTATTTTGTTTGATAAATTGATAGAGCTAAGTGGGTCAGCGAGACGAGAGCTTATGATTTGAAAGATGGAAGCATTCTGTTCCGTGAGCTCAGGGATTTCTTGCGACGACGTAAACTTCTCTTGTGTTAGAGGTAACTTCTCATTCCTGCGTGATATTTTAATTTTTATTTACAGAAGATACAGCTATCCTGTTGCAAAGAGCTAAACTGTATCTCTTTTTATTTTTTTTTCCTTTAGCTATGCTTGATTGTGTATGCGAAATATCAATTCTAAATGTTGTTTCATGCCATTACATGTTGCATCTAAGATTAATCCTTTGTAGGTCGTTTTTAAGTGATCTACTTTTGATTTAGTTTTACCATTAAAATTGTCAGCAAAGCCAAGTTTTTCTGTATTATCAATAGTTTCCTGCTTCTATGGTGGCTTACTCTTTTTTTCAAGCGAGGGGCGTAATCTTGAGTACAAAAGTTTGTAGCGAGTTTCATGATGTGAAATGTGGTGCTAATCAGTCAGAGTTCCCCTCTTAGAGAAAATTGGTACAGATAACCCTTACTTATATGCTCTAGTTGGTATATATATTTCTTACTTGTAATATTAATTGGTGTGCAAGTAATATGAGCATCCGTTCATTGTTAATTTGCTATGTGCATTTTATTTGTATTTAATCATGTTTTCAGTCAATTTTTGATTGCTTATGCTTATGTTTAGCTGTCATTGTGATTTAATATTCATATGATTGTCATATGATTAAATATTTAACAATTCCAAATTATCTGAATTATTTGTTTGTGGAAAGAAGGCTCAAAATATAGAGGTAAAGTAACATAATATAGCAGCTGAAATAGTGTAGACTCAAGCCATAATTTACATACTTTAACATTGTTTGTTTAGTGAGCTAGGAAATATGATAAAAGAAGTATCTTAAACACTGCCAATTTGAAGATATACTTCAAACTATGTAGTTTGAAATATTGTTGCTCTCAAAATATGGTTTCAGAGTACTGTTTTTAGGTCAATTGTGGTGGGATATTCTCCTTCGATGCTCTCAAAATATGCCTAGAGGTAATTAGTTTTTAGCTTTTTGGTTTGCACTTTGTAGTTCTAATCAATGTTTTGAGTTTTAAAAATTAGGTTTGGTTGTTATAGCTGATAACCCAGACGATTTCAAATGCGAGACATGTCCAAAAGAAAGATTTTAGATAATTTATCGAATTGATGTAGAAGTCTGCTTTGTTGGGGTTGTTGCCTGTTATAACTCATAAAGTTTTACTAGATCTTTCTCTTACCTTGTCATTTTTTGCACCATGGTGTATTGCATGTGCACATCGAAGTATTCATATGTATTTTAGTTTATCATATATGTACATGTAACGATACAACATACAACATATGTATGTTAATTATACATGTATATATGTTCTGTGTATAGACTATATTATTTTAGGTTTTCAATCTTAATTAACAATAACAAATGGAAACTACATATTACCTTTCTTACAGTTGTTGTCATGTTAGCTGGAATTTCTTTGAATTGAATTCATATTCTTGGATTATTAACCCAAACTGAATTTTGTTTGATTAATGAATATTTTTCCTAGTCTAATTTTTTTTGTATGCTGTTGTCATGTTAGCTGGTAAAAATATTCCTTATATTAAACATAGTTTTTCTTCTACAGAACTTATAAAACTACCCTTGGCAATTTGAAAAGTTGTTCCCTTTGTATGTTACATTATGCTAACATTATTTTGGGAATTTGTTTTCTGATCCATCTTATTGGTTTTTCCCCCTGTAGGAGATGTATAGGCAGGTTGGTTCTCAATTTCGCGAAGAACTGCAGCGGCAACATTTTCCTTCATCAATGGTAAAACCTCAAATTGTTCCAATTTTGAAATGATTTTTTTAGGACAAGTGGACCACCAAGTTCTGTGGTGAAGATGCTTATGTTTACAACTCTTATGGCCTATCCTCATTGAGAGATTTGGATGTCTTAGCATTTTGTATTGTTCAATTATTCATTTTTATTAAAGATAAAATTGATATAAATCTATTTAAAGTTGTTAATATTTCATGTTTATTTATTAATTATCGTTTGTGTTTCTCTCTTGTAGGTTGTTGCCTATGATTTCGGTATCAAACATAATATCTTAAGGTGCCTGGCATCTTACGGATGCAAAATCACACTTGTGCCATCAACATGGCCTTCTGCAGAAACACTCAAGATGAAACCTGATGGCATTCGTTTGTTCTTTGATCTTGGAGAGTTGCCTCGGCATATCCAATGTCTCCTTTGGCAAGATAGAATGGGCTTCACCACATATACTAGAAGGCGCTAACGGTTGGTATGCTATGTTTTCATTTTCTGTTTGTTTTTTTTCGACTGCTCCCCTACCATGGTTTTCAGTTTTCTTTTTGGCTTTGGATCTTTGGATTGTGGTTTGGATTGTGGAAGGTATTGTGGTATTCATCTCAGCGTTTGGAGAGGTGCTCCTGGAAGTGTAAAGACATTCCCGATGCACGGAAGACGCTCTCCCATTTTGTTCTCTACAATTTTCGTCGTTTCTTCCCTTACTTCAGCGGAGGAAGATACGGCGAGTCTCTCAGGGATGTGCCGACGGCGGATCGCTCCACAGCTCTCTCGCGTGGCGCTTTTCGATGGTTGGTGAATATTCGGCCGGGGTATCACATTCTACGCACAGGCTCTGTGTGCTATCTCGAGCCGTATATCCCCTGCAGGTGTCTTTTGTATTTACACATACATGTATGGTGTAAAATATTTTGTAAAAGTGAGGGATGTCTCACTTTGAAACTGCTCGCTCTCAACAAGAGAGGCGAAAACATGTAAGTTTTATTTCAGTTAATGATATCTATTTTGTAGTTAAAAAAAATCCCTTCAATGTTCCTTTTCCAGTTACCCACAGCTCTTCCATTGGCTAAACCAGACACTGCTACTACAAAGAGCCAAAGGAGAGGCGGTAGGCCAACTGGATGCACTTTGACCTCCCATCAGAAAAGCCCCAACGGTTGAAACCGTTGGTGCTGATATCAGCACCAACAGTTGAACCCGTTGGGGCTGATTAAGACCCCAACGGTTATACCCGTTGGGGCCTTAATCAGCACCAACGGTTGTAACCGTTGGGGCTGATTTTAGCACCAACGGTTACAACCGTTGGGGCATTTTTTTTTAATTTTTTAAAATCAAAAAATGAAAATTTCTTGCCCCAACGGTTGTACCCGTTGGGGCAAGTTTTTCAACCGTTGGGGCAAAGTCAGCCCCAACGCAACTTGCCGTAACGGGTGTTTTTTCAGCCCCAACGGTTGTAACCGTTGGGGACACGCTCAGCCCCAACGGTTACAACCGTTGGGGCTACTACAGTTTGTAGTAGTGCCCATACCCTAATGCCACCCCAGCCCGCGTTGCCCAGCACCCCGACCTCCCTATTCACCCTCTCGTAACCTCACTCCTCCGGATCCCCCCGCGACCAACTTCTCACTCTCCAGCGCCTCCTCAGCCATCACAAGCTGCCCGCCTGGCACACTGCTCTCATCCACGCCCCACCCCCTTCACGCCCTAGCGGAGCCCTCCTTGCGTCTCCATCTCCCACCTCCTTTCCTCTTGACCCAAAACCTTTCACCATCGAGCTTCACTCCTAGCGCGTCGACGGGTCGCATGCTCAGCTCAGTGCATAATTTGCGCCACTCCTCACAGAGCGCTTCTAGCGAAGCCTTGCGGCAACGCCGACAGTCTCAAACATCCACAGTCGACTCGTTCGACGCAACCCTAAGCAAGATCCCGCTTCCATTGATTTGATATTCCATTATTTATATCTGTTAGTATTTGATTGCATGGATTAGACTGTGGTATGTTATTACCTGCATGAGTTTATTGATGAACGATTTTAATTACGAAATGTTTTTGAAAGAAAGAATAATTTGTAAAAAGGGAGTATTCTAAACTATTATTATGAGGAATATTTTAAAAGAATTTATTTTGGAAGAAGTAATATTAAATAGAATATTTAAAGATCATTTTTAGAATTATTGTAATAAGGAAAGAATTTAAGTTATGAAAAAGGGATTATTTTAGAATAATAACTTACAAGAGTTTAATTTATAAAAAGATTATTTTAAATAAATAAATTTATGAATTTTTTTAAAGACTAGTTCTGAATTAATATAATGAGAAACAATTTTAAAAGGATTTATTGGATGAATTTGGTTTTCACGCTTGATTATGCCCCTTGTTCATACTTTCCGTATTGTTCGTAGTTACTATTCATGTCTTCCTCCGATCTTTATTTCAATATATTCGATATGCTATGATATTGTTGCATAGAATTAGTTTTAAATATTATTTCCTTGTTGTCATTGGGAACCTTTAGTAGTCCATGACTTAGTGGCCTTGTAGTGGCCTCGTGCATCATGAACAGACCTAGTGACATGTGTGTGTGTGTTGATCGAATTTAGGTGGTGAACTAGAGATAGTGTGGATTATGTTTGACTTAGAAAAACGAGAAGAGTTGGGATAGGGAAGTCCTTATTCATGTGACCGGATATAGCTATTGATGTATCTTCCAGGCTTGCCATATGATCCAGTGTAGCTTGGGTTTAGTTTGTTAGGTTAAAGTGAAGCTAGTGTAGTCACTATGGTCCGTGAATTTGATATTCACCCGAGTTTAGCTTGAGTTCTAACTAGGTTAAAATCGAATTGCGTGTAGTTCTCTAATCGATCTAGTGTAGCGGCATATTGGGTGCACGTAGGAGATTTATGAACAGTTAGTTATCCGATAATATAAGCGTTGACTCTGTGTGAGATGTGGACCAGTGAGTTTTAGGATGGCTAGTACTCGACTTAGTTACAGTGTGCAGTTCGCCTTATGATTATCATGTTTTAGTAGTGTTTTCGCATGTTGATTTTGTTGGATTTCCAGTTGCACGTTCTTTTGTCATTTCTGTTATCGTCACGAAGAAATCATTAGCTTGGGTATAGTTTTGTAGTCTAGGTTGTTTACTTTATGTGGTATGCTTAAAGCTCAAATCATACACATACACGTTTTGTTTTATCGCTTTTAAGTTCAGCCATTTAAATATGAAACTAATAGATATTTTATATACATATACATTTGTTTCATATTTACCCCATTATATATCTTTTTGTGAAAATAACGTGTTTCCGGATTAAAGACTAGCTCATACTATTTTACATCTTTTCTAAAGTCTATTAATCCATTTAAAAGTGTTTTCAAAACTTGTTTGAAAGAAATTCGTCAAAATCAAGTGTTTAACAAGTTCGTATGTTATACCAATTTTGTAAAATGACGAATTTTCACAAATAGGGAATGCAATTTGAAAAATTTCAACTCTATCATGTTTATATTCATGTATAGAAATATTTTCCCAAGTTTCAGAAATTTTAAAATTTATTTGCTATTTTAAACACACTTTGAAAATCGTATTTTCTATTCAAAACTGGGTTGTGCATGTTTTTCAGTCGATCGACATTGTTCATCAGTCGACCGATGAACTGCTCTGCAAATGTTGAAAAGTTTCTACTCAGTCTACCAATCTCCAGTTGACTGAATAGTATTTTTAGTTGACCGATGACTTGCATCAGTTGACTGATAAACTGTTCTGCATTTTCAGTTTAGTTTCTGCTTAGTCAACCTATCCTTATCAGTCGACCAAACAAGCCTATCAATCGATCGATGAGGTTCATCAGTCGATCGACGGAGTGTTGATTTTCCAGAACTTAGCCAACGATCATCTCATTAGTCAACTAATGCTCACCATCATTCGACTGATGACACTGTAACAGTTTGTTTTCTGTGTGCTTTGATTTTGAACGAATAAATACCCATTTTTGTCTTGGTTTTAGAGATATGTTTTTTCAAGGGTTTTCACAAGAATTTCAAGAGTTGTTTTTCAGTTTGTTTCAACATTTTAAGTGGGTTTGTTTTGTGTGAAAAGAGTTTCATAAAGAGAGAATCGAAATTTCATTATTGAGGTATCCCAACCTCAAATACAAAATCCTCTTTGTTCTTAGAGAAGTTTTCTAAACGCAATTATTTAGCTTGTTGATATTTTAATTGTTATATTTATATTTGCTACATTAATTCGAGTTTGATTTCATTTTACTCATTGATTTCATACACAACCTATTTGAGCTTAAGTATTTTCACATATTGTATACTTAGGTTGTGGGAGTGTATTTTTGAGTGAGCTTCAACTTAGTTCTTATCCTTGTATTAGAGAACAAACAAATTTTTTTGTACCTTATTGTTGAGAATACATTGTAATATACAAGGACACATAAAAGAATGGTTGAGAGAGACCGTGGTTAATTCCAAGAGGAGTGGTGTTAGTTGTAAAGCCTAAGGAGAGGTAGTAATTCTAAGCACTTGAGGAAGGTGACACAGGTAGGCCAACACTTAGAGAAGTATCTTATGGGATTGACAACGTGTGATTTGTAAATGTTATTGGTGAGTGTTAAAAACTGATTTGTGTAGTTACTTTTGATGTGGTTAGTGGAGAATCTCCTCGAGGGTGCAGAGTGGAGATGTAGGTTGAGGGTGACTGAACTCCGTGAACGTATTCTTGTGTTTGTGTTTGGCATTAGCGCTTATCATTATCTCATTGTTTATATCGTCTATTGCTTATTGTATATCCTTGCATATTTCATAGTATATCACATTGTTAGGATATATTAGTTAATAAGTTTTAATTTAGCATTAATATCAGATTAGATTAGCAATTACCATATTCACCCTCCCTCTAGGGTACTTTCAGGTTCTTTACTAATAGCGACATGCATTTGCTGAGTGAAACCTAGTCCTTTAGGAGAAGTGAACTTAGGAGATGTGGGTACTGCAATACGTGGCCTATGCACGACCTTCTTCACCCTTTTCATTGGACTAGGTCCTTGAGAAGTGGTAGCTCTCTCTTGTCAAAACTTAGAACGTACCTCGGTCTCAGTTGCTTGAGCTTGAACTTGGGTGGAAGTTTGGGATCTTTTCCTGCT